CCTTTAAAAAGTAACCTGACTACTGATTAGGGTTGGGCAATATGGACTGAGAATTTTATCTCAATATTTATTTATCACTAATTTTTTAGTTAACTGTAGCACACAGATATTGTTCTTGAAAAACATTCTCATTTGAAACAGGCTTCTTCAAAACGTCTCTAACCTGCACACAGTAACTGCATTTAATCATATTTTCACATTATTGATATGGATTGATGCTCTCGGTTAACAGTGATAAACTAACATTTCCAATTATACTGTAAATTTTTTATTTTTCATCAATAAGTTAAATTTATCATAACGATAAATCAAAATTCTTATGAGAAATGTCTTCTTATAAGTGAAATAATCTGCTCCATCTGTATAGATACAACAGAGTAAACCTTTAAAATCTTCGTCGTCCCCCAACAGTTGATGTTCGAAGCAGTTCGTTCCGGTTTCGACGGCCAGGTTGCCATCGACGACGTGGCGTTTGTGGACGGCCCGTGTGCCATACCCAGAAAATGCTCCTTTGAAGGCCAGAAGTGTGGCTACAGCAGTTACGGCGCCATAGACTGGCTCCACAGGAACGGACAGACCACTACGACGAACGGACCCAAAACAGACCACACTTTGGGGACCGAGCTAGGTCAGCAGAACCCCATCAGAGGACAGAAAACAGGGAAACTGGAGATTTATCCCGTCCTGCTGTCTGTGTCCAGGTTACTACATGATGGTCAACACAGACGCTGACATTCTGCCTCCCCGCAGCGCCGCTGTGCTCGTCTCCCCCGTCCGACAAGGAACCACCAAACCCGAATGTGTCAGCTTCTGGTATCACATGACAGGAGGGAACCCAGGTGAGTGTTTTACCTGCAAGGCTGCGTTCACACAGCAGGTCATGTGATCCAGATCTGCTTTTAGTGGAACCACATCCCCACCACTCTGAGCTCTGACTCCACATCCAAACAGACGTTATGGTCAACGCTCCACAAAAATCTCTTCTTGTTAGCTGTGCTTTCTTTTCCTTAGCTCCCTTCGTCTTGTTATAATCTGTTATTTCTTAGACTTTTTGTGATGAATCTATTGNAGTTTTCTGTATTTTATGTCTTCTGTTTGTTTTAAGTCAAAACATGTTTAGTTAAGTCGTTTTTAGCCTTGTTTTGTGTAACGTTTGTCTGTTTTTAGCTAGAAAAATCTCTCAGAAACAATGGCCATAAAAATAGGCTTTTGTCTAATTCTGGCTCATTTACAAAAATGTTAAATTAATGTGTTTTTAATGAATTTTAAATTTCAAAAATGTCACAGTTCTTCCTCTGGAGTCATAAAGAGTTCATACAGACGTCTCATTGCGGTTGGATTTAATATGAACGACCGTGCAAAGAAACATGCTTACTTATTGTGAACATAGCCTAAAAAAGCTACTTTCTGTCAAATCACTTCACTATTTCTCTTTTTTCCTTTGCTTTATTTTATATTTGTACATAAATGTTTTTCTGCTTCTATAATCGCTGCGGGGTGTTTACCTTCCAGCCTTCTTTACGGTCTACGTCAAACCCGAGAAGGGAGAGAGAGTCTCGATCTTCTCTGAGAACCTGAATGAGGGAGACGACTGGCGTCACGCCAACGGGAACATCTCCGTTGGCCTTGTGTCCTGGCAGGTACAGAGCGACTTCAGAGAGCATTTCTTCCCCAGTCGGGTTGGTGTCTCACTCGGTTTTGCTCCACAGTTGGAGTTTGAGGTCATCGGATCAGGAAGTCGAGGTTCCCACGTTGCTGTTGATGACATCACAGTCTCGGCTCATCCATGTGAAGACCAAGGTTTGTTTTGATCCGAGTCAGGAGCTGAGAGAGGACGACTCTGCTCACCTTCTTCAAACCTAACAGCATTGGTGTCAAACGTTTGTGCAGCAAAATTTTTAATTTGTGCCGCTATCATTTTAAAAATATGAATAAAGAAGTTATCATCAGAGGTCAACAGCAATAACTTGAAAGCAAAAGCAGCACAAACATTTTTTGCTGCACAAATGTAGCTGAGCTGCATCACACCAAATTTGCTTGAGTATATAAATGTGAACACCACAAAAAAATTAATTTACTGCACAAACGCAGCACAAACATTTGACACCAATTTTGTTAGATTTGACTCAGGTCACGTTAAAAGTATGGAGAAGAAAACAAGCAGAATTTTCTTTCTGAGGCTGGACATTAATCCAGCCTCAGAAAGAAAGAGCATCTGATGTGACACATGGAACCACCAGTAATGTCAGATTTCCTCAGAGGAAAAGTTTGAACTTCATGCATATTGAGGTTCTGATTTTCTGCCTCAGGGTCCAAGTGCAGTCTGGAGAACGGGATGTGCAGCTGGATCAACATCCAGGACAGAGAACGGGAGAAGCTGGACTGGGAGCTGACCAGTCCGGAGAAGGAAAAGCATTATCCCGTCCCGCCTGAAGACCACACACTGGGAACAGAGAAAGGTCAGAGAGGAAGACAACAGCACTGGAGCTGCTTTGATCGGTTTTTAAAGAGGTTCTGTTCTGGTTCTGATCCAAAGTCAGGGTTGAACTGAAATGCTTGGATTTTATTTAGGAGTTTTTCCAGGTTCAAAAAATGCCTGATTTCTATCCAAAGTCCTTGAAAAGTGTTTGATATTCAGTTTTATTATAATGTTGGTTAAAAGTCTAAATTTGTAAAATGTTATCTACAGATATTTATGCACACAGAATAAAAAGACACATTTTTTTTCTCTCTGTCTGAAGCTAAATCAAATTAAATATTTCTTTTTTTAGTTAGAAATACCAAAATTATTTATATTTGCTGGATGACATAAAACTTAGAAGATTTTGAGATTTTTTTTTTAACTTTCTCAGACCAGTCAAGTGTGAAGGTTGTGTTAAAGAGAGACATTTCAAAGCATAAAACTTAGTTATATTTTACTAGAAAACTGTCTGAAAATATTATTAATAAAAGTAATAAATGGTCAAGTAAATTGAAAATGGAGATACAAACAAAACCAATTAACTAAAATATGGCTCAATGTTGTGCTGGAATACCTGGAAAATTCTTGAAAAGTGTTTGAATTTTACTGTTGAAAAAGTGGATAAACTCTAACGCGTCTAACTTTGCCTCCAGGTCACTTCCTGTTCTTCCCAAGCAGCAACCGGACAGCAGCCAATCAAAACGCCTGGCTGGTGAGCCCTCAGCTGCCACCGGTTCAGCCCACCTGTCTGAGGTTCTGGGCCTACAAGCCCCAGTCATGTAAGAGCTGCTGTTTTAATAACTGTTAGCGTCTGATGGTCGGATGCGTCATGTTTGGCTAAATGTTCCCAGCGGACTGCCAGCTGAGGGTGTGGAGCCTGTCTGGAGGTCTCATCACCCAGCAGCTGATCGTGAACGAGCTCAGCGGACACTGGAGACATTTTGAACTGAACATCACGTCTCGTGAGGGATACCAGGTCAGACCTTCCAGAAAACTCCTAACTTGGAATGTGACGTCACACGGCTGACGATGACGACGACTGCTGAAGATTAACGGTTTAGTTGTCGCACTGAATCTTAAATGTACACCTGATATATAAAAGTGAAAAGGACGCAGTGCTTTGCTACTAATTATCAACACTATAACAACTAGATAACAATGTCAGTGGAAAGTTTTAATAAAAAAGCAAAAGAGAAGGAAGTTAACTATGCTAGCATCACTAGCATAGCTTGACAACTTTAGCCTGTAAATGTGCTGCTGAAATCGGTGTTTCAGTTCAGAATTGGAGTTTTTTTTCTTTGTGCTGTTTAACAGTTTCCCTAATATGCCGTTGTAGTTGTTTGTGTGGGACATGTTTGCGTGTTCTTTGGTGTTGAATACTGATACATTAGCAGAGCTGGTGTCAGCCAGTTGCTATGGCAACAGGTTTGCGTGTAGTATGGCTGATACACAGTGATTAAAAAAAGAATATGAGTGGTTTTGAGTTATTTTTAAACAGTTTTATGCCTTATTTAATGAGGCTATGTCCACTAGATTAATAAAAGCTAGATCTCTAGGTTTCATTTATTAACAGAGTTGTTCTGCTGCGGCAGCGCGGCGATTAATGGCAAGTAAAAAAATGTTTTTGCCCTCCTGTGTTGGATGTAAGTAATAACATGAAACATGTCTGTAAGTCATTAAGGAATGTCAAAGCTGACATCTCTGCTGCATTTTGTTCTTCTTTTTAACAGATTGTGTTTGAAGGCGTCAAAGGAACATCAGGCTTTGTAGCTCTGGATGACATCGAGTACACCGTCGGGTTCGACTGCGCCACCAGAGTCACTAAACCAAGTAAGACTGGAAATCGGGGAATTTATCGTATCGTTTATCATTTAATTTTGATTTATCATTGCCATGATCATTTACAATTAATGCTTAAAAAACTTTATGTTTTAATATTTTCTCTTCTGTTTAAATGAGAGTGATATATTCTTAGTTTTATCACAATATTTTGTGGTACTTTCTTGATGATGACAAAAAAAAAACACCCATCTGTTTTTTTTGGCAATAAGTTTATGGTTTTTGGTGTCTGAAAAATGAGCCATTTCAAAACCTTCCTGAGTTTGACAGGCACTGCAGCGTTACCTAGCAACCATGCGGAACTCCAGTATGTTTGGTCAGCTGGTTTTACCGCTGTACAACGGCTGCTGGGAAAGATAAGTGCTTTGTTGTTGACATAGCATCCAGAAACCACTTGCTGCATTCTCGTTGGTTGTGCAGGAGGCGCTACTTCTGCTTTTCAAAGATGTATGGTTCTAATATTGCAGATCTGTTTATATCCATTTTTAGGTGTAAGAGTCGGAGGTGGGAGAGCGTGGCCAGCAGCAGCTTATTTGGATTTAAAGTGACAAGACGCTTTAAAACAGTTAGAATAGAAAGAAGTGATCAGATCGAAATCTCATTATCTAAAAATGATTTTGTGCAAAAATTGTAATAAACAGGTTTTATATAGCCCACAGACATATCCTAGCCTGTTTAAGAGATACCAACATGTTTGTTGTAGTTTTTGGCAGCTTTTCTAGGAGTAAATGATCTCGTCTCTCTTTCAGCCTCGAAGCCGGACAATGCCGGAGGAATCGCTGCCTCTGTGATCGTAGTCGTGCTGCTGATCGGCACCCTGGTCGCTCTGCTCGTCTTCTACCTGCGAACCAAACCAGACGCCAAGGCTCCATCGCTCTCTGTGGGCATTAGTAACGAAGGATATGTTCCAGTGAGTTAAAACATCCCAATAAATCCAATCATTTGACCTTTTCTCACCTTTTTTCTCTCCTGAAACCTGTTTGATTTTTGTTAAATTGCCTCTCAGGAGGATCCTGTGGACGTTCCTCCAAGACAAAACCATCCAATGGCTGCAGGATTCAACAACATCTCTGTGAGTTTTATTCAACTCAGTTTATACTGTTGAAAACAAATTCACCACTAGGGGGCAGCAACTATTAATTTAGGTATCAGGCTTGTCCACAGGTGTTTGCAACAAATGGAAACATTTTATTAATCAGTCCAAAATTATTGCAAACAAATTTAAATCTTTTTTTGATAGAAAATGTTTGGTGCAATAGAAATATTTGTCTTTAATAACCACATTTTCAGCATTCTATATAATTTGATAGTAAAAAGGAGCTTTTACTCAAAAGCAAACTTTGGTGTACCCAAAACTGCTTTTAATTAATTTATTAAACGTACTAAATGCACCAATTATGATCCAAAAAGTTTATCTTCTGGTAATTTAGGCTTTATTCTTTTCCCCTCCTCCAAATAAGCTCCCAAAGTTAGAAAATTGGATGTCTTACTTTTAATAAGACAAACATGCAAGATCTTTTTTTATTTTTAGGTGTACGATTCAAACCCCATTGTTACAGAAAGTCAACAATGGGGTTTGTTGACTTTAGTGAAGCAAATTATTGCTTCATTAAATTATTAATGAAGCAATAATTTAATTGCTTCATTAAATTATTGTAAATTTTGTTTATTGGTTGTTATGTAATTTCTTTGTGATTTTAAATTGTTTTAGAAATTAAAGATGGTCTAATAGTCTAAGGCAGGAATTGTTTCATCGTCTACAGAAATTTCTGCACAGACTATAGAAATTTCCAATATTTTTCTAGAAACTTTCTGAGATTAATATCACAATTTCTGAGTTTTTTTTTCTCACAAATGTTTGGCTTTTCAAGCTCAGAAATTTCCAGTTTTTTCCCCATAAGATTTCTGAGATTAATCTCAAAATTTCTGAATTTTTTGTGAGAATTTAACTCTTCATTTTTAGTTTTCTATGTTTTAAGGCATGGTTGTACATTCCTTAAAGCATCTACATTAGTTTAAAATATCAGATATGATTTTCTAGATGTGAAAGTAAGAAGTTCAGATCCACTCTTCATCTGCAGGAGAATATATTTGGTGTTTGAACTTTTAAAATCAGCAGCTAAAAGCAGATATTAGCTGTTTGTGGTCGGTTCTGGTCCCTAGCTAATACAATCTGCTGTATTTGAACCGTTAGGCGTGTGTAAAATTGCTGATTCATGAAAAGAATATCAAGAATAAGTGATGATTTTTTAAAATTACTTCAGTTTAACTGATTATCTTTGCCCTGCAGATCTCTGCCGAGGTCAGAGAGAGAGAGGAGGAGGAGTGACACGGGGAGCTTTGCTGCCACCTAACGGTGGTTTTGGGAAATGCAGGTGATATCACAGCAGGAGAACTGCTTGTGTCACCCTAAATGATCACACCTACATGTAAACAAACACACATTTACACAGAAAACAGGAGGCCAGAGCGCTGATTGATGCAGATCTGAGGGGATCGGACCTTCAGCACGGGGCCGTCGGAGCGACATCGCAGCTCTCAGTACCGCTGAGCTGCATGAAACGGGCCTGAATAATAAATCACTGCTGTGTTAGCAGGCGCTGAAGTGGAAACCAGGCAGTTATGAGCAGATTTGGAGTTTTAGATTAGATTTTGATCCTTTATTTTCCTAGCTTTTTCTATTTCTGTACCAAATGCTGACTGGTTTTAGTTTGTTGGTCTCGTTTTCTTCACCTTCCTTCTGATAAATCACCACAGCTCTGCAAAAACACTAAATCTCTAAATTTCTAGTACAAATATCAGTATACTTGGAATAAGATAAAATTAACTTACAAATAACTTTGGGAGCTTGTTTCAGATAAGCTGTGTTTTCATCAGCCATTAAAACCATAAAAACAAAAATAATTAAACATTTTACTGAAGCTGGTAGAAAATAGTCCAGATGTCAAAGAGCTGTTAGGAGATCATGTCACTTTTCAGGCAGTTTTTTAATTTCTAACCTGATTCTTCAGCTTTATTAATATTTGTGTTCAGATGAAAAATGGAGAAGAAATTAAAAACCTTGATGCTGATGTGGTCGACTCTTTCAAACTGATCATAAATAAAGCAGATTTTAAAGCACTTGTCTTTCATTTTGGTCTCCTTTCTTTTATTTCCTTTACATTTACACATTTAGGTTTTTTTTATTGAGACCAAGTCTCTCCATATGACTTATGACTGAATTATGTATTTTTGAAATATCTGATGAGTGTAAACTCATTTGTTTCCCATATATTGTGATGTTTCATATTTTTATCCCAGAGAAATATAAAAACTAGATTTTATGCATCTAAAACTGTTTTCAGCTCAAAATTTGAAATGTCAAATGTCCAATTTGACATCAAATATCAACTTCAGCATCACTAGCTAGTTGTCATGTACAGATAAATATTCAAAAAGCAACAGACAACATTTTCAGTTTGCAACTGATAGGTTTCTCCTTCTAGTACTCATGCCGCCCCCTGACAAGGTGGCACCCTGGGCAAAGAGCCACACCAAACATAATAGAAATCACTTGCAATAGACAGCAAAAAATACTCTTCTGTGCAACATTAAAGGTTAAAAACAGCTTAATTTTAGTCAAAGTCCAGACTCAGATGGACTTTAGGATAAGTGTTAAAAATGATTTGTTTTGCAGGAGTTCAGCTGACGTCTCTCAAAAGGTTTGCAGCTGTTAGTGGATTATATTTTACAACGGAGAATTAGGGCTGCGTTAAGAAAACACAAAGTAAAATTAGGCAAATGAAGTCATAATACAAGAATAAAGTCATAATATTAT